CCCCCCCCTCCCCTCCTACCTACCTCTTGCTGGGATTGAACTCGTTAGACTTGTTTGGTGGGCGGCTCGCTCGCGGCCGATTCACTCACTCGATGCATTTTCTGCTTTACGTGCCGGGCGCAGGCGGCCGAGGGGCGCCCAAAGGAAGAGGCGGGGCGGCTATGCTGCTGCGCGCGCGCGCGCTCGTGTGAGGACCGGGGCGGCCAGTGACGTCTCGCCGTGTGCACCGAGGCCGACCTGCTTACATTTTCGTAACGCGCTCTGTACGCCCGGGCAGTCAGTGCGCCCAATTACATAAAAGGCCGAGCGATGTGATTCGCCGCGTAACGCAACGCGATCGTATAACGCCGGGGCGACATGTGCCTTGAGAACATGATCACCTTCTGTCTCTGTCGCCCGAGCTGATGAGCACGGCGGGGCGACAGAGACGGGGAGCATGGACGCGGGCCAGCGCGAGCGAGCCACTCTCTCTCTTGCTGCGACGTGCGTCACGCGCGTGCGCCTCCCCTCCCCGAGCAGGTGAAGGTGTCCCCCGGCGTGCCCTGGACGGGCTCCTACAGGAGGGCCGTGTTGCCCGAAACGCCTCCTTCCACGAGGAGAGTAGCGTAGACGCGGACGCCGCGTAGCTCACGTCTGCCCAACAGGGCGCAGAAGAAAACTTTCTCTTAGGGAATTCCCTCCCCCCGCCAAGGTAGAAGTACTCGGCACTTACGGATTTTGGTGGCGGCCAGGGCGGTGGAGGCGGCAAGGGCGAGGACGGCGAGGACGCCGATGGCGTTGGTGCGGAGGAGCGCCATGCTGGTGTGCGCGGGGCTGGGAGGTGCGTCTAACTGGTGCGCGCGGCTCTGCGCCCGTTTTATAAGTCCGGGCAGCACTGCGGCCAGCCCAGCCCAACTCAGCCCCGGGCCCCGGGCACGGCCGCGCTCCGGGCGGGGTCCCCGCGGCGGGGAGGGGGCAGGGGGACAGTCGGGGGTCCCTCCCGCGTCCTGCAGGAGAATGTGTGGCCGGCCGGATAGGGGGCCGGAAGGGGCGAGGCGAGGGAGGGTGGGAGGGTGGTGCGTGGTGCGATGATATAGATGCACAGCGCCAGCGCCTAGCAGTCACGGTGCTCTTCTTCCTAGCACCGCCGCCGGTATTCCAAACCTCCTAACCATTGTCGGACTTTCCCCATGTCGCTGTCATTGTTGGCATCCCGCGACCATTGACCACCATGGGATGGAGTCCAGCCCATCAGGCAGGTCACATCCTCGGGACGCTCGGGACCTGCCGGAGGGATCGTCAGGCCAGAGGGTGAGGGTGGGATCGTTTACAGGCTCCAGTTCTGCTCGCCGTGACGCAGATGGCCTGGATGGGGGTGATGACGGCACAACTGTCCTCCTGGCGCCTCCCCCTCCCCCCGCACCACCGCGCCCGGCCCCCCGGCCTGGCCGCCGGGCAATCGCGGGGAGCAGACACGGCTGCGGGCCGGCTTTCTCACGGGAGGCAGGGGTCCCGTCTGTTCGATGGTTGGCTGGACGGGTCGGGAGCTTAAGTTCGAAGCGAACATATCGCCGGCGATGCACTTTATTGATACGCTGAGCGACGAGCGTCACGCGTTCGTTGGAAAAACCGTGGCGAATTTCCTGGAAGCGGTCGAGTCAAGGACTCTGCTTTTCCTCTTGGCCTGCAACCGAGGCATTTTGCAGGACTATATTGTGCCGTTGCCCCCCCCCCTCCCCCGCTCTCCCGTAGGAGACCCTGGTACGGGGTCGGGTCACCTCACCTCCCGGCCCGGGACGTGTGCAACGACACTGGAGTCGTCGAGAGGTCCACCAAAGTCCAAGTCCACGAAAAGCGTCCCGTCTTCTGTTTACGTGAAATTGTTTTTTCCTGGTGAAGTCCTCCTCTAACTTAGACAGTTCTAGCCGACCTCGTGAGCAAAACATCGGCGAACAGTCCGAGCAAAGCTCACGCACGCAGGCAGCCGATCCCTGTGTGTTTACTTGGTGAGGCGGGGGCATGGACCTGTCCTCCACCGGCGCGGAGGGCCACGGCCGTCCACCATAGCCCTGTGACGCGGGGCCCGGGAGTCCCTGGAGTCCGCACTCCAGGCCGGCCTGGAGCTGGAGTCCGCCGCTCTGCCAGCCGGTCAGAAAACTCGCCATGGAGCCACGGCGGCTATGGAGGGCAGTCGGTCACTCGCGTCTGATAAGGTGGTCGTGGGTTTTGAGGGCATCTCTCCCCCGCGGGGCACAGCCTAGGCAGAGCAGGGCAGGGTGCGCGTGGCGCCCAGGGGTCCAGCGTTCAGCCGGCACGTCCAGCTCCAGCAGCACGTCGTCCTCGCGCCTCGCGCCTCGCACCTCGCGACGACGCAGCCGGGACCGACCACCGACGCGACCGCTACTTAGTCTCACTATACTGTATCCTCATCGCTATTGTCTGTCGGTCACCCCTATTTTAGTCAAGAACGGAGAGTTTTTCCGTCTGGAGCGTGGCAGACCTTTAAAATGAAAAGAGCGTCGCCAGTTCCGGCCGCGTAACGTAAGTCCAAACCGCTAATGACGCAATTCATAATTTAAATCAACGTCTGTATTGATTCCACGGAAAAGTCCCCCCGTTACATCGGATTTAATAGCGTTTGTCCAACGGCCCGGGCCCGGTTGTGTTCACGAATCTGGTCAGCAGGCGATTACAGTGATTACCGGAACGTCAGCATGGCACATATATTGTTGATGGGTGAAAAGAGGTGCCTGCTTGGTCGTCATGAGCTGGAGAGATCATTGCATCACCGCCTCGTTGTAAAAGCGGACAGGACGCTCGCGTTGAGCCGCGGCTGCGGGGTAGGACCCCGCCAGCGGAGGATCGATCGGAGGGCAGTGATCGCCCGCGCGTCCACCGGCGCGGCGGTTCTCTAACGGTTTCTTTCGAGTCAAATCAGTTCAATTGAACGTCGACGCCGGGGTATGCGTCACCTGGTGTCGAGGGCGCCGATTTTGGCCTCGCGGTCCCATGTCCGCCGCACGTCCGCGGCCACGCGGTGGCGGCTGCGTCGCGGAAGCAAGCAGAGGGAAGTGGCCCGAGGCGGA